TCATATTTTTTTCTCCTTTTGATTTACGAAGCACTAATATTCAATGGCCTATAGATCTTTAATTGCTATTGCTAACTCATGCTTTGGCCCTTGAGCCAGGCCCATAGGGCGAGATTGTTGGTTGAGTTTAATGATGCATCGGTCCTTTCCTGGGCTTGTCTTAGTCGAACTGTCGAATTAAAATATTACAAGCTTTAACATGATCCAATGATTCACATATTTCGGAATCATTTTATCAATTACATTTTATTAATCTTTTCACATGGATAACTATGGTTTTGTATTCTACCATTGGCAAATAAATTAAGACGAATATTGATGATATTTTTTTGGTAAATATTCAGACTTGTCATTTAACTGCCAAAACGTCATCATCGTTTACTTTGGTGTTTGGTTTGAGGAAAACTCAAAAGAAAAATATTTAACTACCAAAAATAAAATTTTATTAATAGTAAGGAGGAGGAAAACCGAAAGAAAAAACATTGCATGGATAATCACTAAAATGTTGGTAACTTAAGAATAGAAAAGTCATCTCCCCCAACATTCTTCCCAAAACTCTCAGAGTTTTCCCCTCCCATCCTTTGTTGAGAAATGAATCTGACTAAGAATAAGACATGCTACAAGGTATACTTTTTTGAGGTTGTGTAGGATTTTCTACCACTATCTTCTTCAATTAGGCTGACTCAAATTTTCGAATCAGTAGTGAAAATGAACATCTTCTCCATCTGCGGACTTATAGTTCGCGAAGAACCACCCCACAATGGCCAAAGTCATGATACATTGATTTCCAACTTCGAATGGAAGATTAAGGAGGCTCAATTTGTGAGTTAATACAGTCTCCAAAGTTTCAACTCATGCGACATAGACGATTGTGCAAAATATATAAGTTTTTAGAAGGGATAATTTAGCGCTACACGTTGGGAGTATTGGCTACAGAATTGTTGAAATAAGAGCATAGTGGCAGAGGCTGAGATTGAGTCTCAACTCGGGATGGAATAAAGAATAATTGAAGGCCAGATCAGTGGTAGTGGCGGTACTATCGGAGACTTCAACGAAACAAAGGTCGATGGAGAATATGACCTCTGCATCTGTGAACTGGTTGAAGATTGACCTTATTGTTGGACGACGGCAGAGCAGGGTATAGATGATGGGATTTCTGTATTGTGTCGGTATAATATCCTCCATCGGATTAATATTTAATAGGAAAGTGGATTTTGTTTTTTTTATGGACTGGGGCCGAGGGTTAATATTTGTTGACTATAAGCATTAAAGAATAAAATAGTATGTGGATACGAATGGACATGGGCTTGCAACAACAAAACAAAACGCCATCAATGTCCCAGCGTAGCGCGACTTCAAACTCATAATTGTTGTTATATTAAAGTGATATGGTGGCTAGAAGAAGCTATTCTTTCGTGATATTTGGTGCAATATAACAATATCTAACAAAAAGATTGCTAGAAATTAAAACAGAGCTACTAGCAATTAAAGCAAAATCGTACTTATGATAAAAAGGACACTATCACCTAATAACATCACTAGATAACCAACAAAAGCTTATGTTATCCCTAATTATTAATCAAACTAACATATAAAAAACATACTAATTAAAACAAAGACGGCTAAATTATTGTTTATGAAGGATTTTAATTTAATTCCTTAAATATAGGTGTGAAAAACTTGAGCTCCAGTGCGCCAGGCCTCTCATGAACTTCCGTTCGGTACATCCTCCCGTTGGAGTCGAATGTGTTGCCTCCAACAACCATCACGTCGAGCTTGTAGTTCACGCCGTCCACCACCTGGAATAGGCCCCTCCGAATGCTTGCGAGTCTCAACCGATGTTTGAAATTGTTTTCCCTGTTGTGCATTGCTACTGCAAACTTGGCAATCTCCTGAACGCGATAGGTGTGTATGTTCTTTATCGGTTGCCATCCACCGTAGGGATTAGCACTGATAGAGGAGAGAACGATTGCGATGGTAATTAGAGCTACGAAAAATGTAATGGGCTTCATCTTTCGTATGTAAGTGATTCTTCGTGTGAATTTGTTAAGAAGATGTTTGGTTGGTGTGTTTTGGATGTGAAGCGAGACTAAGTGTGGTGTGTATTTATAGGATGTGGTGAACTGATTGATTTCTTTCACTTGTTTTTTTTTCATAAGGTAAAGTTGTCCATTTTTAGGTACTTACCCCGTTATTATAGATTGTGGGTAATATCTTTTTGCAATTATTTATGCATTACTTAGGCTATTGACTCTCCTCTTTTACCGGTTATTTGTGATCTAATTGATTATAACATTACATGCCTTAAAGTTGTTAGACTGTTCTTATTTTTTCGTCTACGTAAAAAAGTGCTCATAATGGAAATGTGAAATGTATGTAGGCGAGTTAGGATTGAAAAGCAAGCTCGTATTTGGCTTTGGGTCGACGTGGCCGAAGGAGTATTGGGTCGATTCAGGTGTTGACATGGTTTACTCAAGTTACATACTTGGCATGTGTTGGTGGTATGTTGAGTAGGCACTTATACTAGTTCTTGTGACACGTAAAAGGGAGGATCGATGAAGCATATCCATCATTCTTATTTGTTATTACACAATCCATAATATAAAAAGTACGCATACCGGCCTTCTTGCATCGTTATTTCTATCTTGCCCGATCACGGCGATAGGCAGTGGCTTACTCAAGTTTCCTATCTTCAGCTCCTCCTCGGCAAGGGTTCCGGCGACACCAGCATAAGTTGCATAACTAGCGATTTTTGGTGGGCGCAAACCTTCAGTTTGCAGGGCTAATAGAGGACCTCCAACCTCCTCCTCCTCTCGGTGGCTTATACGGAGGCCTAACTGGTCGTTTATAAAAATTTTGTGCAGAAACGGACCCGTGATGCTCATGGAAAGCACCAACATTCCTATCAGCAGAAATCCTAACAGTTTCGGGAGGGCTAGTTTTTTTCTTCTTCTTTGGTTGGGTTTGGTTTACACAAAATGGAGGGCATTGTTGGGGCCTTTTTATAGAGAGAATAAATTGATGATTGTGCCTGTGTATTATCTTTTAATTGGGAATTTAAGATGATGAGGATCTCACTATTCTTATTCTACATCCTTTGTCCAAAATGTCAACCTTGTTACATCTTCCATGTTGCTTTTTCTATGCTCCAACAAGTGTCCATGAACTATATTATTTGTTGTAGAGGCTTCAATCGTGACTTATGATTAGGGGTGGATCTCGGTCGGTTTTGGTCTAACCAAAAACTGAAATATTGATTATTTATTAGCTGAAACACCCCAAAGCCTCAGCGACCACCGACCAAAATCACCATACTATGTATTAGACAACCAACCAGATGGTTTTGGTGTGGTTATTCGCAAAACCGAAAATTTGATGGTTGTGTTGGTTTATATCGGTAACCATGCCAAACCGAACCGACAACACACAAAAAAAAAACTTAAGAAATTGCTTCTGAAATCACCAAAATCCCAAGCAATGCTCCACTTTCTTAATCATAAACACTTTCATCATGCTTTTGCACAAAATACTTTCCTTATGTAAACGGTAAACCCCAAAATCAACTCTAATCCTCCACTTTATAATAAACACTTTCCGTATGTTGTTGTACAAAACACTTTCCTTATGTAAACCCCAAAATCAGCTCTAATCTTCCACTTTCCTTGTAGAGTAAACACTTTCTTGTTTCGCCAATCCAACTCCGCCGAAGCTGATTCTGCAGGACGATGGTGGTGGGTAGGTTGCTTGGTCGAGTTGGGTGAGGCGAGTAGACAGGTAGACGATGGCGCGGCAGCGTGAGGCAGGCGAAGGAGTTGCTAGGCAAGGCGGCGGAGGCACGACGGGGGGCAAGGCGGCGGAGGCATGGCGGGGGGCGAGGCAGTGGATGCAACGCGAGGCAGGGAAGGAGGCGGAGGCGCGAAATTAAGTGTTTTGGTTATTTCCTGGCATTTCGCATTTAGGGTTCAAAAAGGAAAGTGGAGGATTATAGGCGACGAACAGTATTCGGGGAAGGATAAGCGCAGGTCTTGGTTGCGGTCGGTTAGCCGGTTAACCGCGGTTAATCACTGTCGGTTACTATGCTAACTGATCTCTTTCTTTTCCCATCCGCCAACCGACCGCCTATGTTATTAATCGGTTCTCGGTAAGCCGGTAAACGACCGATTGTCGGTCATAACCGACGATTACTGCAACCGGAAATCGATTATACAGCCCTACTTATGATCATATTGAAATATATTATGAGAGAAATATTTTAAAAAATTGCTTCAATTTATTAAATTTTATCTCGAAGAAGTTTCTTGTTCCACGGTGGGACATCCCGCTATTGTTGTAAGCAGATTACATTTTTACACAATTTTACTAATTATTCACTAATTTTCAAGCACAAAATATATGTTTTCATGCAATGTATAATGTGCGTGAAAAAGTGATTGATAGATAGATGAGATTAATGAGAGTGCGAGAAAAAATATGACATGTGCATAAATATAAATCTACGTGAATCATTGATATCATTGCATGAAAATAACTTTTGTAAATGAACAGTGGGATATCCCACCACGATATTTACCCTTTTCAATTCCATAAAGTCTTCGAGTTTTTCAGGTTCAATCTAGCGAGAATGTTTACACCATCATTTATAAGGACGCTCACTCAACACATATTTGCTATTGATGGATTGGGTAATAACTTATAAATAAAATATCTAGTGTTCATTTAGTCTGCATCTGTGAACTGATTGAAGATTGACCTTATTGTTGGACGAAGGCAGAGCAGGGTATAGATGATGGGATTTATGTATTGTGTGGGTATAATATCCTCCATCGAATTAATATTTAATACGGAAGTGGATTTTGTTCTTTTTTATGGACTGGGGCTGAGGGTTAATATTTGTTGACTAGAAGCATTAAAGAATAAAATTGTATGTGGATATGAATGGACATAGGCTTGCAACAACAAAACAAAAGGCCATCAATGTCCCAGCGTAGCGCGACTTCAAACTCATAATTGTTGTTATATTAAAGTGATATGGTGGCAGAAGAAGCTATTCTTTCGTGATATTTGGTGCAATATAACAATATCTAACAAAATGATTGGTAGAAATTAAAACAGAGCCACTAGCAATTAAAGCAAAATCGTACTTATGATAAAAAGGACACTATCACCTAATAACATCACTAGATAACCAACAAAAGCTTATGTTATCCCTAATTATTAATCAAACTAACATATAAAAAACATACTAATTAAAACAAAGACGGCTAAATTATTGTTTATGAAGGATTTTAATTTAATTCCTTAAATATAGGTGTGAAAAACTTGAGCTCCAGTGCGCCAAGGCTCTCATGAACTTCCGTTCGGTACATCCTCCCGTTGGAGTCGAATGTGTTGCCTCCAACAACCATCACGTCGAGCTTGTAGTTCACGCCGTCCACCACCTGGAATAGGCCCCTCCGAATGCTTGCGAGTCTCAACCGATGTTTGAAATTGTTTTCCCTGTTGTGCATTGCTACTGCAAACTTGGCAATCTCCTGGACGCGATAGGTGTGTATGTTCTTTATCGGCTGCCACCCACCATAGGGATTAGCAGTGACAGAGGAGAGAACGATTGCGATGGTAATTAGAGATACGAAAAATGTAATGGGCTTCATCTTTCGTATGTAAGTGATTCTTCGTGTGAATTTGTTAAGAAGATGTTTGGTTGGTGTGTTTTGGATGCGAAGCGAGACTAAGTGTGGTGTGTATTTATAGGATGTGGTGAACTGATTGATTTCTTTCACTTGTTTTTTTTCATAAAGTAAAGTTGTCCATTTTTAGGTACGTACCCCGTTATTATAGATTGTAGGTAATATCTTTTTTGCAATTATTTATGCATTACTTAGGCTATTGACTCTCCTCTTTTACCGGTTTTTTGTGATCTAGTTGATTTTAACATTACATGCCTTAAAGTTGTTAGACTGTTCTTATTTTTTTGTCTACGTAAAAAAATGCTCATAATGGAAATTTGAAATGTATATAGGCGAGTTAGGATTGAAAAGCAAGCTCGTATTTGGCTTTGGGTCGACGTGGCCGAATGAGTATTGGGTCGATTCAGGTGTTGGCATGGTTTACTCAAGTTACATACTTGGCATGTCTTGGTGGTATGTTGAGTAGGCACTTATACTAGTTCTTGTGATACATAAAAGGGAGGATCGATGATTGGGCAAGACTAACACAAAGGGCTTTACTTTCCTTCTCATACTAACACAAGACTAACTACCTTTTCTACTCTGATTGGGCAGGGTGTCCCGACACAAGACGATCAACCAGTGGCTACTGTGTTTTCCTTGGCAACTCCCTCATCTGTTGGAGATCACAAAAGCAGGCAACGGTATTTCGTTCTTCTACCGAAGTAGAGTATAGAGCACTTGCTGACAGTGCACATGAGCTTCAATGGATGTCGTTTCTCTTCACCCAGTTGCCTCTTCAGCCCAAGAAACCATACATGATCTACTATGATAGCTTATCTGCAGTTAAGATGACAGAAAATCTGATTCAGCATTCTCGCACAAAGCATATTGAAATCAACTGTCACTTCACACGCGATCAAGTGTCAACAAGCTCAAAGAACAACATATATCAACAACCTCACACCTAGTAGATACAATCACAAAGTCCCTTCCTGTCCATACCTTCACATAACTTACCTCAAACTAAACTTACGATCCATCCACGTTTAGTTTCCGGGGGGTATTTGAGTAAGAAGGACGACAATCGAAGCATTTTTATAGTACAATGACTGATATGCAAATAGGATAGGATTAGAGTTAAAATCCTAATAAGAAGAGTCGAGTATGGCCAAGTATATGTACCTACCACGACTCTGACAAGGCCCAATGAGCCCATCACTCACACGGTTTAATTAACCGCAACACTCCCCCTCAAGCGAAGACATGAATGACAAGAATGTCGAGCTTGAAACTGAACAATACTCAAACAACCTCTTGCTGAAAAGCACAATCCAACAGGCCGTGACTTTGTTCGCTTCGATAGAGGTAGACAAATGACGAAACTACTCTATGCTTGACCTAGTTCTTTTGACAGTGAACTCAACATGGGATAATTCCTTGATGTCTTAGAAGAGACTGATCCTACTCCATGTTTGACCCAGTTCTTCATAAATAACTCAATATGGCAGAATTACTTGACGTCTTGGATGAGACCGGAGACTGATGACTGCGTTGCTGACTTTGGAGACTTCTAACTGCACTGCTAACTGTGCTTCTCCGAGCAACTTGACTGACTTGGTACATCGTGGTCGAATTGATGACTGACCTAGTCGACCGACATATATAGACTCCATATTCTCTCCCTCAAGCTGACGCATGAACGACGTAAATGCCCAGCTTGAAAGTTAGAATGGTTTAGACTGTGAAATGATTGATTCTGAACACAAAGGGACGATCTCTTCTTTTATTGTGACTTCCTCGCTTGGTGACTTGAAAATTTTGGTAATAAAAGCTGTTCTTTCTCCCCAACACTATCTATTTGAAGAGACGACCACTGCAGGTCACGATTTTCTTCGACGTCATGACTTTGATGTTGGTAAAGATTGACTTACTACATGACTGTGATGGGGATGATCAGGCCACAATGAGGACAAGACTTCACAAAGCAGCTACAATATCCACCAGAGAACGTAAATGGGGCAAATATAAGTTGAAAGCCCCTTTTATTTTTTTTATCTGCACCAGGAAACCAAGGCATGAAACTGATGATAATGGCACTTCTTTAACCCAGAGAAGTCCCACCGATCGGTCTCCCAACATTAAGTAACCAAACAACAAAACAAAATAGAGGAAAAACTTATTCTTCCTTGGAATGTTGCCCACTTGACAAAAAAACGTGGAGAAGAAGTCCGACCGCAAAGATGAGAAGTCCTGAATTGGAGTTGAAGAACGACAAAGATGGACATGCTCGTGTGAACTGTAGAGGAACAGAGGCATGACAGAGACCAATAACGACTTGGAGCTTGAGAAGAAAAGGAAATTACTAGGGTTTTTGGTAAAGGTTCTCCAAAAACTGAGAGCTTCTTTTTCTGGTTTTCCATTTATATACCCAACACTCTGTACACCAGGAAGAAAGACCTAACGTCTTTTACACAGTGATTAACTAACAACTAAAATGAACCAATCAAAAAGCGACAGGTGTCCATAAGACACAGCTCTAATTGCTGCAATAAACAAGTTAAGAAAGACGGCAGCATTTTGCGCATCTCTTTCTTCTCTCAAAGGAACGACTTGCGTTTTAACCCAAACTTGTCTTTGTTGCTAGGATAGAACGCCGTCATTTCTCCTGGTCAGGAATTCCTCAATTGCAGCCTTCATTTGTTGACAGCATCAACAACTCAATCTCATTTCTTCACTTCAATCCTGTGCTGCTGCTGTCTTGGTTCATTCCTCTATTACCCTCCCTCAAGCTGGCGAGTGTCTACCAGAGACTCCGAGCTTGTTAATCAACATATTAAACCGGTCAATGCCTAAAATTTTTGTGAAGACATCTGCCAGTTGATATGTAGTGGAAATGTGCTTCAAATCAATTAGCCCATTCATCAATCTCTCCCTGATCACATGACAGTCCACCTCTATATGTTTTGTTCTTTCATGGAATACTGGATTCCTAGCAATGTGAATTGCTGATTGGTTATCACAGTAAACCATTGTAGGTTGAGAATGAGTAATCCCAAAATCTGAAAGTAATCTTACCAACCATTGCACTTCACAGCTAAGCTGAGCCAAAGCTCGATACTCAGCCTCTGAAGAAGATTTGGAAACTGTGCTCTGTTTCTTTGTTTTCCAGCTGATTAAGCTAGTTCCCAGGAAGACACAAAAACCAGTCAAGGACCTTCTTGAGTCTAGACAAGTGGCCCAATCAGAGTCACTATAACCAGTTAATTGAACTGCAACATCATTAGAGTAGAAAATACCTTGCCATGATGCATTACTCAAGTATCTAAACACTCTTTGTAATGCCTTGAAGTGCACTGAGGTTAGAGAGTCATGGAATTGACAAAGTTGTTGTACTGCAAAGCTGATATCTGGCCTGGTACTTGTCAAATACTGTAACTGTCCCAACAAATGTTTGAACTTGCTTAACTCGAGAAAATCTTCTCCATCTGCAGCAGAGAGAACTTGCTTAACACTAGAAGGTGTCTTAGCAGGCTTGCATTCATCAAAACCTGCTTCTTTGAGAAACTATGTGCAATACTTTTGTTGTGAGACATGTATTCCAGCAGCATTTCTGTTAACTTCCAGGCCAAGAAATTATTTCAACTCTCTTAAATCTTTCATCTTGAATAGAGACATCAACATGTTCTTGACTGTGACAATGGCACTCAAGTCCTCACTTGCAACAACAATGTCAACAACATACACAATCAGTACCACTAGATGCCCTCTAATGTCAGTAAGGAAAATGGAATAATCTGACATTGATTGTCTAAAACCATGTGCCAACAATGACTCTGTCAGCTTTGCATACCACATTCTACTTGCTTGTTTCAGTCCATGAAGATACTTTTTAAGCTTGCAAACTTTCCCTTTGAACTCTGGTTTGTCCCTGTGCAAGGCATTGTTAACGTCCATTTGATGGAGAATCCATTTCTTAGCAGAAGCCACAACAAGTAACATTTTCACAGAAGTCAATTTTGCAACAGGTGAGAAAGTGTCACAATAATCGATTCCATACACCTAAGTATACCCTTTTGAAACTAAACGTGCTTTGAACCTTTCAATAGATCCATCTAGGTTATACTTTATCCTAAAAATCCATCTGTTTCCAATGGCTTTAACTCCCCCTGGCAAGTCAGTGATGTCCCAAGTGTCATTATCAAATAAAGCTTTCAGCTCATCAATCATGGCAGCATTCCATTTAGGGTCTTGAGCAGCTTCTGTATAGCATGAGGGTTCATAAGCTGCTGCATGTATCATGGCAAATGCTGCTGCTGAGGTGAAAGATGAGCAAGATCATGAGGAACAGACAACTTGGGATCACAGCTGACTTGATTGAAGCCTACATATAAGTCATTAAACTTCTAAGGAAGTGTTGTTTGCCTTATGGACTTCCTTAAGGGTACTACAGGTGGAGTGAAGGAGGATGCAGGAGTTGGACTCGATTTTGAAGTAATAGAAGCATCAGGTACTTGAGATGAAACTGAAGAAGCTTGACTAGAGTTGGAAGTGGTAGAAGGAGCAGGAGACTAGGAAAGGGGTAAGGAGAATGTGGTGTAGTTGTAACAAAAAGAGTAGGATAATCTGTTAACTCAGGTTCAAAGGGAGGAGGAGAATCTGAACAAGAGGATTCTCCTGGACAAAAAGAAGGCAAAGGACTGGAAGAAAAGTCCTCTGTAGAATCAGAATCAGTTTTTGTGGATTTGAAAGGCAGGATTTGTTCATGAAAAATGACATCCCTACTAACAAATACTGTGTTGGTATTGATTTCAAGTAATTTATAGCCTTTAATACCAGTAGGGAAGCCTAGGAACATACACTGTTTTGATCTGGGATTAAACTTAGTTTTATGGCTTCCAACACTAGTAGCATAAGCTAAGCAACCAAACACCCTTAAATTCATATAGTCTAGAGGCACTTGATGCAAAATCTCAAAGGGTGTTTTGTGATTAAGAATAGGGGTAGGTGTTCTATTAATGAGGTATGCTGCATGAAGGATAAAATCACCCCAAAAAATGTAAAGGTAATCCTGACTGAAACTTTGAAGACCTGGCCACATTAAGCAAATGTTGGTTCCTTCTCTCAACCCTCCCATTTTGTTGAGCTGTGTAAACACAACTCATTTCATGAATAATCCCATGATATGAGTAAAAATCAGTTATGTGAAACTCTAGACCCTGATCTGTTCTTATGGTTTTGATGAAACAGAAAACTGATTTTTCACCATAAGACAGAAAGATTGGAGTGTTGGTCTGGCTTCTGCCTTTGTTTTAAGAAGAAAAACCCAAACTACCCTACTGTGATCATCCACAACAGTAAGGAAGTAGGAAAAACCATCTCTGGAAACAGTTTGTAAGGGTCCCCAAATGTCTGCATGTATTAAATCAAAGGCATGTGTGCTAACTGAGGTGCTTAAAGGAAAAGGCAGCCTCTTTTGCTTGGCCAAATGGCATGTTTCACAATGTTTTGCCAAAGGCAATGAAACCTCATTACAACTTTGTTTAATAACTTTCAGTCTAGACAGAGATGGATGGCCTAGTCTAGCATGCCAGACATTGAAGTCCTGGTGATCAAAATTAAAAACTCCTGGTGTCAACTTCTGAAAATCCTTAGAAACTCCAAACTCCTGACTCCTGGAATCTGAAAACAGGTAAAGACCTCTATCCACTTGGGCTAAACCAACCCTCCTCCGAGTAATAAGGTTCTGAATCACACATAAGTTGGATTCAAAGGTCAATGAGACTGGATGGCTTTTGGTTAACTTGCTTATAGAAACAAGATTGTAAGCAAAAGAAGGAATGAAAAGAACTTGAGTGATGAATAATCCACAAGGCAAAGTCACAATCCCTATATGTGTGGCTTGTACCTGTTGTCCATTTGGCAGGCTCACAAACACATCATTCAAAGTCTATGTTTCATGAAGTACTTATTATCACATATTATGTGATCTGTAGCTCTAGTGTCCAAAACCCAAACAATGCTACGAGGCGTATCAAGCATAGAGGAGAAAGCTTGTTTACCTGAGAAACAAGAAGAGTAAGAAGACTGGGTTGGTACAGAACCAACTGGCTTCTTGCCAGCACTAGAAAACTGTGGACTTCTAACTGCTACAGCTGCAGTACGAGGTACTCCTGGTGAGTTTGGTGGTGATGGTGATGTAGAAGGTGATCTGGCAAGCATACTCTTAAGCTGCTCAAATTGATTAGGAGTAAGCAGATTCATCAAATCCCCCTCTCCTTTTGCTCCATTATAGGAAGTAGTGTGTGTGCTACCACCTTCCTCACCTAACGAAGTCTTAATTGAGCCAGCAAAAGGATGCTCATTGTCTTTACTATTTTTGTTCCTGAGCTTGTAACACTAATCGATCGTGTGAAACTCCTTCTTACAAAACTTGCACCACTTCTTACCATCCTTGTAATCCCTAGGATTCTTCCCACCTTGCCCCCTTTACCACCTTTTGCCTGCCTATTATGTTGTCCTGCCATTAAGGCCAGAGAATCCACTCTCCCCTTATCTGCATTCATACCCTTCATTTGCTTTTCTAACTGGACCATCTGCTTGAAAACTGATTCAATAGGTGGCAGTTGAGCATCCATCAACACTTGAGTTCTTGCTGATGGGTAAACATTATTAAGTCCTTGCATAAACTTAATGATAAAGTCATGCTCCTTATACCTTTGAATTGTAAAGAAAGAGTTTTTGGGGCAAGGGAAACATGAAATAGGTTTGTACATCTTGTATTCTTGCCACTTAGTTGTCAAAGGAGTATAATATTAGGTAACAGTGAGGTTACCCTGAACACATTTTCTAATCTGTTCATTCAGTTCATAAACCCTCATATTATCTGCTTGACTGAATCTATCTTTCAGATTACCCCATACATCCTTAGCTGCTTTGTACGAACCACACTATTAGCAATATCATCTGAAAGAGAGTTGTAAATCCAACATCTAACAGTACTGTCACATCTATGCCAGGACTGCCAAATCGGATCTCCTATTTGAGGCACAGGAATCAATCCATTCACAAATTGAAGTTTGTTCTTAGTGCTAAGAGCAAGCTCCATTACCTGACTCCAGAGATTGTAGTTCTGGTTAGTCAACTTCATCGAGATAATGGTTGTCAAACCCCCATCGTGAGGAGGAAGATAATAGGGGTAGAGATATGGGTCTTCATAACGAGGAACCACCGGAGGGATGAATTGATCCATTTGACGTCGAGCATTCACTCCTTGAGGGGTTCGTGGTAGAATGTCGTCATTTGCTGAAGCAACGTCGTCTTCAGTCTACACTTCATCAGCTACAAACCCATCAACTTGGATCTGGATTCGACATTTTTGATCAAGAAAAAGGAAAATTGGTAGAGTAGAAACCTGGATCTGGGTTAGCAAAGCCAACCAGGCTCTGATACCATGAGAAGAAAAGGAAATTGCTAGGGTTTTTGGTGAAGGTTCTCCAAAAACTGAGAGCTTCATTTTCTGGTTTTCCATTTATATACCCTACACTCTATACACTAGGAAGAAAGACCTAACGGCTAATACACAGTGATTAACTAACAACTAAGTTAAGAAGGACGGCAGCGTTTCACGCATCTCTTTCTTCTCTCAAAGGAACGACTTGCGTTTTAACCCATACTTGTCTTTTTCGCTAGGATAGAACGTCGTCGTTTCTCCTGGTCAGGAATTCCTCGATTGCAGCCTTCATTTGTTGACAGCATCAACAACTCAATCTCATTTCTTCACTTCAATACTGTGCTGCTATTGTCTTGTTTCATTCCTCTATTAGAGTTGTTATACTTGTTGATGGATTTGTGACGTCGTTGCCCGATAACAACTTGTTGTTGCTTGCTGGGTTAGAGAATACGTGATGATGGTGGACTGGCATGGGCACGGAGCGAGGCGACCTCGAAAGGAATCTCCAAGAGGCGATGATCCTTGACTAGCCGACGATTCAAGAGCTTCCGACAATGCTTGAATGGTTGATTGAAATCACGTCGCCAATTTGAGATGCTCGGCCACACGCGTTGCACAGACGGAACGAGAATCACGGCCACACCATAATTAGGACATGTGTCGTAGGCAACTGATGGGATAGGGGCCAACAGAGATGACGCAGACATGAAAGAGAGAAATGAGCAACAATGAACAACGTGAGAACAGAGGGCTGACCCGTGAGAGAAAACAGAGGAATCATTTGACGATTGATGACACGAAAATTGATGATTGACGAAGACGAAGAAACCACAGAGGCGGAAGTGCGGAAGCTCCAAATCTTAATCAAGGATCGAGTTTCGCTCGGATACCATGGAGAATTTCATAATGCGGAAGGAAAAGAACATAAGAGACATGAGAGTTTACGTGGTATCCTCGATCGATTGATTGATCGAGATTAATCCATGGTGAGCTTGAAAGAGCTCACGATTGACGTTTTATTATTTGAGGACTACATTGTGACAGCTTGCTTCCCACAGACAGACGACAGCTAAACTATTATAGAGATAGACTTAACGTTAAAACCCTAATGAGATGAGTCGAGTACGACCAAATATCTATACCTACCACGACTCAGAAAAGGCCCAACGATGCTGTTTAATTAACCGCAACAGCTACTAATCATGGAAAGCAGCAACAGTGCTCCCATTGCTCTTATTCTACATGCTGCTTTGCCCAAATTTCAACCTTGTTACATCATCCATGTTGGTTTTCTTTCTCCAATAAGTGTCCATGAACTACATGATTTTCTCTAGAGACTTCAATCATGACTTATGGATCATATTAAAATTGTATAGATATGTGAGAGGAATAAAAAATTAATTTTTTAATTTATTATATTGCATAGGCAAAATACACTTGTATAGCCAAAACTTCTGCGTTTGTGCCAATAATAGTCAATTTTGAAGAAATACCACTTATAGCTAGATACGTCAACTTATTTGACGGTTCGCTGACTAAGCGCCAAATCAGCAGACACATCAGAATTTTAAAAATAAAAAAAATTCTAATTTTTTCCTATTCCCTATCAATCATCTCCCTCCTCCATGGCAACGGAACAAATCCGGGAAGATCACGCTTCCTCCTGCAGCATTTGCCAATGAAAAGAGAGGATTTCTTTATTCTTTCCCTCTCCTTCAAGTGACCAACCCACCCCTCTCATGTCATTTTCTTCCTTCCTTCTTGTTTCTCTTCTTCTGTGGCCAACATCACCTTTCACAATTTCAATTTCAATTAGGGATTAAAGTTCTAGACAATCGACAGCGCAACAGGTAAGGGGGGATTCCGCGGAAGGACACTCATTTCGGAAGCCTCACCAGGCGAGCAAGGTAGAGCCTCGCCAGCAACCGATTCAAGGGTCTTCATCCGACGATTGATTGATTTCGGCTCCAAGCAGCAGTCAGGTCGCCATGGATGGGGATCGGAGCCTTGCAAAAATGTAAACAAAAGAAATAAAGATATGGAGAAGATCATCGATGCAGTAGGCATCGATTGCGAAGGAAGGGATGAGCTAGGGAAGAGGAAGAAAGCGTATTCAGAACGGCTGCTGCGACGATACGAGGAGGGGATGCGAAGCCACTCAGGAGGAGTAAATCTTGCGGCGGTGGCGGTGGTGGTGACGAGCTGCGGTAGGGTAGCGGATGTAGGTTGGCCGGCGGAAGGAGTGAGGTCTGTTGAGGAGAAGAAGCAGAGATTAGGAAAGGGAACATGATATTTTTTTCGTTGGTTTATTATTATTTTATATTTTATTTGATATGAAATATATTAAAGAAATTTCACATAAGTATTATTAGTTGCCACGTCATCATTTCTGTTAGTTCACTCAATCCGTTAGATGACACCGTCAAAGAATTAGATGGAAGTGGCTATAAGTGGTATTTTTTCAAAACTGGCTATTATTGGCACAAACGCGAAAGTTTTGACTATACAAGTGTATTTTGCGTATTTTATATGGGAGAAGTTTCTTGTTCCATTGGAGAGCAGTTCCGGTGAGTAACCTTGTGGTGCTATAACCCCATGCATAACCCAATAATAATCTGCCACATCACCACCTCCTCTCTCCTTGAAAAACCTTTAATTTTTCTTCTCTTAATCTTTAACGGATGATTTCTCACTCGTTTTAACTCAGAATTTAATTTTTTTGCACAGTTAGATCAAATTAATTGTGCTCTTCAAAATGATATCCACTTTGATATTTTTTTGAACAAAAACAATTTGCCAGTTATTACCAGTCTGGTATGAAAAATACCACCCCATACCAGGGTAGTATAGTATGGTATGGAGTTGGTAACGAGAGGTATTAAATTTTTTCACCCATAAAAATTTGAAATCCAATAGATCATGATTAAATCGTTCCTTCTGTACAAAATTTTTCAAAAACGACTAAAAAAACGAAGGAGATACCATATGGTATGAAGTTGGTATTATCTAAAACTGTACCATAACATTGAATGTACAATTTCAAGTTGTACCATAAAGGTAAAAACGTATAGCACCAATACTATATAGTATTGTAAAATTCCTCAAAAAAGAGAATTTGAGAAAAAGAAAAGGAAACCCACCAAGATCTGGGAAAAAATCCAAAACTACCACTATAAAAAAAATTACAAAAATACCACACATTCCCAACAATTTCCAAAAATACCACCCTTCCACACAAAATGCACATCGAAGGCGCGGTTATAAAACAAAACGCGCCTCCAAGGCACGGTTAAAGCACAAACCGCCTCTGGAACACGCGGTTTGACTCTTCCTGGCTGTCAAACCGTGTTGCCACGTGGCGGTACATGCAACCGCTGGATGGGGAAGCGATCTGACGGCCAAACCGCGCGCCAGCTCAGTGATCCGCGTCGCTCAGTCAAACTGCTCCCCTAAAGCGTGGTTTGACTGTTGGGGAAAGCTAACCGCGCGCTTGAGGCGCGGTTTTAGGCGGGGTAAAAGGAAGAAACCGCCCCTCCCTCACGCGGTTTCGTCCCTATATAAACCCCCCTTCCCAATTCCATTTTTTGCACACCAAACTCATTCCCCTCTCTCTCCCTCTAACTCCTCACTCTACCCACCCCCCTCCCCACCCAAAAACCTTAGAATTAGTTATTTTGTTGGTTCCGGCTAAGTCCGATCTGCCTTCAAAAAAGTTTTTCTTTGGTTTTCACTAAAAAGCCGTCGAATCTCTGTCTGGATTCGGAAAAAATGGTCGATTTCATCCAAGAAGAGGGCATTTTCTATGATGATTATCAATTGGTACGTATTCATTTTACCCAATTGTTGTTGTTGTTGTTGTTATAATGATTTATTTAATTTATATACTAATTGATTTATGTTGTTGTTATGCTATCGTAAGTTGGGCCGGATGTTGATATTTATAATCAACGATATTATGTTGATCAAGGACCGATTGATCCGACTGTTTTATACGATCAAGCTAATCATCGTTCAAGAGACGTTTGGAACGACCACAAGGTACATATTATTTATCATCACTTGTAATTTGTATTTTGTGAAAGTAATTTATTTGTTTGTACAATAATTTACTTAATTGTTAATCGTATTGATTATTTTTAATAATTTAAATCAATACAATACAACACTTATTTAGACTCTTTATAAAGAAATGCATGTCTAAGGAAATGGGGACTTAAGCGATCATCATGATCCCCCCATAACCTGGGAAAATCGGATTCTAAGCGATCCTCGGATCCCCCTTTTTTCTGTCAAAAAAACTGTGTTCCTAATGAGATGTATACCTCTCCTAATAGTCTTACGAGTGTACTTGTATTGCTTTAAATTATTGAAAATAATCAATACGATTAACAAAATAATATATTTGATTTTATGTGTATGTGTATAAAAAATCATTATACTTAAATTTCAAAAATTATTTTAGTAATGTTAAAATTAATGTTTATTAGATAATTTATATTTCTCTAAAACAACCTTGATTTAATTAATATTGCACCTTAGAAAATTATTTTAGTTATGTTAAAATTAATGTTTATTAGATAATGTATATTTCTATAAAACAACCTAGATTTAATTAATATTACATCTTATAATATATTTATATATGTATAAATCATCAACTTATATTGAAATTTAAATTCTTCTCTAGGATGCATACCATATAGTCCGCTATAGGGGCACGACGAATGTGCTTGAATGGCACAACGTCATCTTGCCCTTTCTAAAAAGGGCAAGATTGGATTCGATTAGGCATTTTAATGGAATCAAGATCGACCGCCAACTCATCACAACATTGGTAGAGAGATGGCGAAAGGAGACACACTGCTTCAATTTTCGTGAAGGCGAGTGCACCATCACACTTAAGGACATCGCCATCCTAACCGATTTGCCCATCGATGGTGATGTTGTTTGTGTAGACTCTACGCCACCACCTAAAGTTGTTGCCAATATGAGTGGTTGGCAGCATTTTATATGGACGGTCACCGGGTTGTGTCCGCCAGAAAAGGGAGATCACGATACGGATGGTCATCCACCATTGCCCAAGGGCCAAGTATCCATCACGTGGTTGAAAGCGGAGATCAGGCGTAAGCACAACCCTGAGTTCGGAGGCATTCCCCTCACGGAGGAAAGTTCGGAGCGTGATAAAGACATTTATGCACGTATCTACATCCTCGACATGATCGGAGGAGTTTTCTTCCCCAAGAAATCCAACAACCTAATCAGCAATTCATGGTTGAAGATCATACTTGGGAGTTGGGATGATACGGGAAACCTGAGCTGGGCATCTACTTGCCTAGCTCATCTCTACCGATCCCTCTGTAATGCTAGTGCGAGAGCGGTGAAGGAGATTGATGGGCCATGTTCATCGTCCAATTTTGGGCTTGGGAGCATTTGCCAAGGATTGCGCCGAAGGTAGACCCCGACAAGGACTGGGATCCCGACCATCCCCGACAAGGAATGAAGCTTATGGTTGTAGGTAAATGTTTTCTATCCCACTCATAGTTCTCACCTTTTTTTACTAATTGGGTATTTTATAACGAACCGGCTATTATGTATTAACACCCCATACTTTTTGGATTGAATAGGTGGCTTGGTGAAAAAACATGCGACAACCTAGGAGCGCATAAGTTTGAGGAGTATCGTAGGAGGCCTGATCGCCTTTGGGAAGCAGAGGTGAGCATCATAATACGATATTAATTCCTACTTTTTTTCAACTTATATTATTATGTTGATTAATGGTCTATTTTTTATGCACCTTCGTAGCTTAAGTTCGATCCGTATCTAGAACGCATTGTTGTGCATCACGTCCACAAGTTCCCATTACATCCCGGTCAATGGTGCACCCGAGTTCCACTAATCTGCCACCATATAGTGGAGTGGCACTTGCCGGATCGATGTCTATGACAATTTGGACGTGAGAAATGCCTACCATTGGATCTCTCGGAGAGTCAGAGGGGGTACCACGAGAAAGATGGTCGACAAGGAGCTACTAATTGGCCAGAGGAGTATGTAAAATTGATCCGCCTGTGGAATGTTAGGCAAGATCAGGATATTGTGACGGGATCTCATGTGGGGCGGATGGGCTACCATGACCCATACCTGGAAACATACCGAAGACAATCTGTTCGTTACATGACCCCCGAAGGTGCGGCGGACGGAGCTTTGGTAAGTAATTCAGTTGTTATTTATTTAGTCATGCGGTGCATTACTTTTTAAATGGCTCACGTTGTTATTTTCTTCGATTTAGGTTGATGGCATCGAGCGAATACACGACCTCGCACAGACGGCAGATCATTTGGCTGCGGGTCGAGAGGTGGGGCTCATTCGAAGGATAGCGAACAGTCTCCTCGGCTGTATGCGAGCGCGCGGACGTGACCATCATAGATACCAGCCAGTTCCTCCAGTGAGACTGCCGCCGGTGACGGAAGATGTTGACCCTGTGCCTCCGCCGGTCCATAGAAGGCCAAACAAAGCTACAAGGGATCGACCTCACGTGCCGGAGATCAAGCCGATTGCGGCGTGGAAGGTGCCTACTCCTTTGGAGGTGTGCAGCGGTGAAGGGGGGAGTACTCCGTATGATCCCCGGTCGAGTTTTCACTACGACCCCAGTACTCAACATGATCCTCGCCCCAGTTTCCACTACGATCCCACGCCCGGAAGCCAGTATGATCCGCGGTCGAGTTTCCAATACAATCTCCTGCCCACTTTCCATTATGAACAACGGCCAAGTACATTTCATGACGCCACATCCTCAGCTACTTGGGCCGATGGTTCATACTCAAGTCCCCACCAAGACTTCTCATCTTTGCATCGACCACAACAACAATGGCAGTCCACTCCCCATCGTATGAGCGTGGATAGCCCTCGACCGCAGATGGAGGGGCCACCTACAACGGCACCGAGGCGGCATAGCACGGAGGATCGCCCTTCTACGGCGAATAGGAATCTGCCACCCGTTCCACCATCAGCTACACCTGGTGGACCAGTCGCCCATCGCACAAGGAAACAGAGGGAAAATCGTCCAAATAATGCATGAGTGTGACAAGTTGTGTTTATTTCAAGTTATGTTTCGTTTAAATTAAGTTGAAAATTTTGTTTTTAGTTGAAGTTATTTTTTAGTTTTTCATGTAGTGTGTTTGTGTTCGTGATGTGTTTTACTCAAAAAGATGGAAAATTGCATCGAAGTTTGTTAATTGTGCAAATCTCCAATGTCATTTAAGCACACAAAATAAAAGTAGAGCAACCATTGAAATTAATACACAAAGATGGAACAAATGCATGAAATCAATATATGCGCCATTATATGGGTTCACCACAT